GAGATGTGGACATGAAGCTATGGTTGTGGTTGAGCCTAGGGTTAGGGTTGAACCCGGATGTGGGCATGAAGTTAGGGTTATGGTTGTGTTTGGGTTGAACAGGGATGTGGACATGAAGCTAGGGTTGTGGTTGAGGAGGCTAGGGTTAGGGTTGAACCAGGATGTAGCCTTGAAGCTAGGGTTAGGGTTGTGGTTGAGGAGGGTTAGGGTTGAACCGGGATGTGGACATGGAGCTAGGGTTAGGGTTGAACCGGGATTTAGCCTTGAAGCTAGGGTTAGGGTTGTGGTTGAGGAGGCTAGGGTTAGCATTGAACCGAGATGTGGACATGAAGCTAGGGTTTAGGGTTGAGGCTAGGGTTAGGGTTGAACCCAGATATGGGGATGAAGCTAGGGTTAGGGTTGTGGTTGAGGGTAAGGGTTGAACCGGGATGTGTATATGAAGCGAGGGTTATGGTTGTGGTTGAACCGGGATGTGGACATGAGGCTAGGGTTAGGAATGTGGTTGAGGGTTGAGCTGGGATGTGGACATGAAGCTAGGGTTGTGGTTGAACCGGGATGTGGACATGAAGCTAGGGTTGAGGGTTGAACCGAGATGTGGGCATGAAGCTAGGGTTAGGGTTGTGGTTGAGGGTTTTGTCAGGATGTGGACATACAGCTAGGGTAATGGTTGTGGCTAGGGTTGAACCGGGAAGTGGGCATGAAGCTAGGGTCAGGGATGTGGTTGAGGGTTAAGCCGGGATGTGGACATGAAGCTAGGATTAACAGAGGGAAGTCTGATGCATCCTGCAGTTTTGGAAATGCATTTACCAAGAATATGCTTGCTTGGACAGACATGATGGTTTGGACCTTCAGAGGATCACAAGACCTGTGTATTTGTGATTACCTGATGCGTGTGTGTACCTGACTAGAGATCCCATGCACAGGCAGATGCTAATGATATTGTTCCTGGTCAGAGACGCTAACACTAATACTGTAAACTGACATACAGCCTGGAGGGCTGATGGTAAAGCTAACTTTAACAACATAACAAACAATATGACTCAATCAAAAGTAGGGAATTATTGTTGAAATCAATACAGGCACTCAATCCTCATAAACCCTACAAGGACGTCAAAACACATATTTGAAATGTATTATTTGGAGAATGATTATAGGACAGCTGGTCTGATAGTGAATGATTTTGCTATCTTGTGTATCGTACTGTAGCGATCCTCGCTATATGAGCCACGTTACAATTCACATCAAGTGGGTTAACCCTATTGGCGCGATGCGTTGGGCGTTTTGAATTTCACGCTACAGTATCTTCCCAGGGCTATAGTGAGCTAACGCTATCTGACACAACAGGTATGAGCGTTGCTACAGTATGTGTGGTATCACCTGGTCTAGTTACAGTGAGCGGCCATGGGGGAGGGAGCTAGAACAAACACAAAACTGCACCCCTTTCCCGCTCTTCTTTTCCTGTCCTCAATTCCAAAAATCATCCCATAGCCTCTAAGCATCATATGCAGATGTGAAAGGACTGGAAAGGTATAGGGTATCTGGTTGAGGTAAAGTAGGGCAGAGTGGGAGGGGATAAGAGAGGAGAGAGAGGGAGGGGTGTAGCCTGTGTTTCATACCATGTCGTGTAGATAGTATGTGTAGCTTGTATTTCATACTGTTGTGTAGATAGTACAGTGCCTTCACAAAGGATTCACACCCCTTGACTTTTTCGTGTTACAGCCCGAATTTTAAATGGATTAAATTGAGATTTTTTAAACTGGCCTAAACACAGTACCCAATAATGTCAAAGTGGAATTACACTATATATACAAAAGTATGTGGACACCCCTTCAAATTAGTGGATTCTGCTATTTCAGCCACATCCGTTGCTGACAGGTGTATAACATTGAGCCATTCAATCTCCATGGACAAACATTGGCAGTAGAATGGCCTTATTTTGCCACCTTTCCAACAAGTCAGTTCGTCAAATGGTTTGTCAAGATCGGTGTGGAAGAACTTGACTGGCCTGCACAGAGCCCTGACCTCAACCCCATCGAACACCTTTGGGATTAATTGGAATGCCGACTGCGAGCCAGGCCTAATCGCCCAACATCAGTGCCCGACCTCACTAATGCTCGTGTCTGAATGGAAGCAAGTTCCCGCAGCAATGTTCCAACATCTAGTGGAAAGCCTTCCCAGAAGAGTGGAGGCTATTATAGCAGCAAAGGGAGGACCAACTCCATATTAATGCCGATGATTTTGGAATGAGATGTTCGACGAGCAGGTGTCCACATACTTTTGGTCATGTAGTGTATGTTCTTCAACATTTTTACAAATTAACTAAAAATGAAAAGCTGAAATGTCTCGAGTCAATAAGTATTAAACCCCATTGTTAGGGCAAGTCTAAATAAGTTCAGAAGTAAAAATGTACTTAACAAGTCACAATAACTTGTATGGCCTCCCTCTGTGTGCAATAATAGTGTTTAACATGATTTTTGAATGACTACCTAATTTCTGTACCCAACACATACAATTATCTGTAAGATACAACCACAAAGACCAGGGAGGTTTTCCAATGCCTTGCAAAGAAGGGCACCTACTGGTAGATGGGTAAAAAAAAATAACACACATTGAATATCCCTTTGAGCAGGATGAAGTTATTACACTTTGGATTGTGTATCAATACACCCAGTCACTACAAAGATACAGGGGTCCTTCCTAACTCAGTTGCCGGAGAGGGAGGAAACCGCTCAGGGATTTCACCATGAGGCCAATGGTGACTTTAAAACAGTTACAGAATTTAATGCCTGTGATACGAGAAAACTGAGGATGGATCAACAACATTATATATAGACCCATGGGGCGGTGCACAATTTGCCCAGCGTCGTCCAGGGTAGAGGAGGGAATGGCCGGCGGGGATGTAGCTCAGTTGGTAGAGCATGGCGTTAGCAACGCCAGGGTTGTGGGTTCGCTTCCCACGGGGGGTATAAAAAATTATGTATGCACTAACTAAGTCGCTCTGGATAAGAGCGTCTGCTAAATGACTAAAATGTAAAAATGTAATTATAGTAACTCCACAATACTTACCTAAATGACAGTGAAAAGAAGGAAGCCTGTACAGAATACAAATATTCCAAAACATGCATCCTGTTTGCAATAAGGCACTAAAGTAAAACTGCAAAAAATGAGGCAAAGATATTCACTTTATGTCCTGAATAGAGAGAGTTATATTTGGGTCAAATCTAACACATCACTGAGTACCACGCTTCATATTTTCAAGCATGGTGGGGTTTGTATCATGTCATTGTCGAGGACTAGGGAGTTTTTTTTAGAATAAAAAGAAACGGAATAGAGCTAAACACAGGCAAAATCCTAGAGGAAACCTGGTTCAGTATGCTTTCCAACAGACACTGGGACACAAACTCACCTTTCAGCAGGACAATAACCTAAAACACAAGGCCAAATATACACTGGAGTTGTTTACCAAGATGATATTGAATGTTTTGAGTTGCCTAGTTACAGTTTTGACTTAAAATCGGTTTGAAAATCTATGGCAAGACTTGAAAATGGCTGTCTAGCAATGATCAACAACCAACTTGACAGAGCTTGAAGAATGTGCAAATATTGTACAATCCAGGTGTGCAATGCACTTAGAGACTTACCCATAAATATGTATTATTATTTAAAGACTCACAGCTGTAATCGCTGCTAAAGTTGAATTTAACATGTATTAACTCAGGTGTGTGAAAACTTATGTAAATGAGATATTTCTGCATTTCCAATAAATTTGCTAACATTTCTGAAGACATGTTTTCACTTTGTCATTATGGAGTAGTGTGTAAAGCTATTTCATCCATTTTGAATTCAGGCTGTAACATAAGAAAATGTGGAAGAAGTCAAGGGGTATGAATACTTTCTGAAGGCACTGTATGTGTAGAGTATTATAAAAGAGTGGATATGCAGGTCACAGAGGTTAACACACAAAAGGTTCCATTTGTTCATGGATAATACAGAATATTACATAATACATCCAGTAACATTGAAGACAAAACAATGATTTTAAAGTTAAAATCTTTATTCATGACAACCTCACCGAATGCTTAAGTCCACTCACTGACTAAGGACTTGTACACTTTACTCAAGAAACAAACAGAGTAAAATTAAAATGTCTATTTTAAACTTGATTAAATACATTTAGGAAATTACTCCTTCTTGGCTAAATGTATTTCCCTGGAACCCTGAAATTTAGTGTTGACATTAATAACCACAGTTGAAATGAAGGGGGATTGTGTGTGTGTGTGTGTGTGGTCTATGACATTTCCCTTAGAACTACACTGAACAAAAATATAAACGCAACATGTAAAGTGTTGGTCCCATGTTTCATGAGCTGAAAAAATAATAATCCCAGAAATGTTCCATATGCACAAAAAACTTATTTCTCTCAAATTTTGTGCACAAATTTGTTTACATCCCTGTTAGTGAGCATTTCTCCTTTGCCAAGATAATCCATCCACCTGACAGATGTGGCATATCAAGAAGCTGATTAAACAGCATGATCATTACACAGGTGCACCTTGTGCTGGGGACAATAAAAGGCCACTTTAAATGTGCAGTTTTGTCACACAACACAATGCCACAGATGTCTCAAGTTTTTGGGAGCGTGCAATTGGCATGCTGACTGCAGGAATGTCCACCAGAGCTGTTGCCAGAGAACTGAATGTTCATTTCTCTACCATAAGCTGCCTCCAATGTTGTTTTACAGAATTTGGCAGTACGTCCAACCACGCCAGCCCAGGACCTCCACATCCGGCTTCTTCACCTGGGGGGTGCTGAGGAGTATTTCTATTTGTAATAAATCCCTTGTGGGAAAAAGGAATTCTGATTGGCTGGGCCTGGCTCCCCAGTGGCCTCTCAGGCCCAGCCATGCTGCACCCCTGCTCAGTCATGTGAAATCCATAGATTTGGGCCTAATGAATTTATTTCAATGAATTGTAACTCAGTAAAATCTTTGAAATTGTTGCGTTTATATTTTTGTTCAGTATAAGAGCCTAAGTATGAGGAGAGTGGGATCACATGGAATGCTTAACAGGGGTTTCCCTGGTAACCTGAGCACTTATGGTAATTCCTTGCATGCTTGTTTGGTTGGTTGTGCAGTTCTTTGAGTGGTTTGTGGTTGTTGGGTTGGTCGGTAGGCTGCTGTGATAGGTTGGCTTCTGTGGTTCTTTTGTAAAGCGTTGCATTGGCTTGCCCTTAGGCACAGATTTAGGATCAGTTTCCCCTCCTCAAATCCTTACTTAACCATTGGAGGGGGGTAAACACAAAACTGACCGTAGAGCTGTGTCTGGGATGATTGCTGGCGCCTTGCGGGGCCAACTGTAGCAGAGTTAGCGGAGGGAAGGTAAGCTTGGCGGTAGCCTCACTTGCGGGGCTGGTGGATGTGCTGGGTGAGGTGCTGGTTCTGGGGCATCTTGATGACAGACGGCTGGGGCTTCTGGTGAGCTACCTGGGCTGCAGCCGGGGTGAAGTCCTTATCACCCTGGGAAACACAGCCACTTAGTACAGGTGTGACAGAACAGCCTTTTAGTTAGAGCCCTATAGTTTCAATACATGACACTGGCAGATCTGTTTAACCCCAGTCTGTTTCCCTCCCTCTGTTTATCATGATGATTTTATACACAAAGAAAAGCAGCGCATCGACCTGCTTCTAAATCAGCAAGGAAATACAACCAATTTTCAACACGGCCCTCCTGACCTCATTGAAGACCGAACACAGCACCCAGGGGCAAAATTAGTTTGACAGCCCTGTTCTAAATACTCTGGCTCTCTGATTAATTACCACGTGGATGCTGTGTGTGTGTGTGTGTGTGTGTGTGTGTGTGTGTACACACAGTAGAGTACAGTACAGAGACCTAGGAGGGTAAATACATATTTGCCCATTGTAGAAGTACTCAGAAAGTGACCTGTTGGACCTGAAAGAGATAAAGGTGCTCGAAATTGACCCATTTTGCATACCCCGCCATACCATGAGACATCCATGTCTTCATCACTGGAAAAGATAAAATGGTTGAGATTGACATAATTTAAAAGCTTACAAACAGGGTTGTTTTAAAGTTCACAAAAAAATTAATCAATTATCAAAAATATTGTAATATTCACATAGGTTGTAGCTTAGACCCTATTTTACATCATATGACATTATGTTGTGCCCGCCATCGGTTGAGATACAACATGCTCTTGAATACAGGGTGGGTGTCATGTTTTGGCTGATAAATGTACTAAAATGCTAATATAATTTAAAATTCGACTTTCAAATGGTACCACAAAGATGATTTGAGGTCCACACATCAGATAACGTTGACTTGATTGGAGTATCCGTTGTTTTAAATTATACTGTCAATCTTCCATAGGAAACCCATTGAAATCATAGAAATATAAATAATAGAATAGACACGACCATTTACTGTAAGTTGACATTCGACAGCGGGTAGACCGGTGGCCATCTTTGTGGTAGTAATTAGAAGTAAAAATGTCAGTTCAATTTCAATGGTGTACTAGTTAAATTACAGTGGTCTGAAGGAATAGGTCCTTTCTATGAATTATATTTCTATGATTGAAATGACACCCACCCAGTATTCAAGAGAATGTTGTGTCTCAACCGACGGCGGGCACAACACAAAAACCTCAGATGATGTAAAAAGTAGGGTCTAAACTACAACATAAATGAATATGAACAAAATCGGTTTACCAGTTTTTAGATAAATTACAGTAAAAGGAAAAAAAAAAAATCATTATATATATATATATATATATATATATATATATATATATATATATATATATATATATATATATATATATATATATACACATACATACATACAGTGGGGAGAAGTATTTGATACACTGCCGATTTTGCAGGTTTTCCTACTTACAAAGCATGTAGAGGTCTGTAATTTTTTATCATAGGTACAATTCAACTGTGAGAGACGGAATCTAAAATAAAAATCCTTATTCTTCCTCCAAACACGGCGAGTGGAGTTTAGACCAAAAAGCTCTATTTTTGTCTCATCAGACCACATGACCTTCTCCCATTCTTCCCCTGGATCATCCAGATGGTCATTGGCAAACTTCAGACGGGCCTGGACATGCGCTGGCTTGAGCAGGGGGACCTTGCGTGCACTGCAGGATTTTAATCCATGACGGCGTAGTGTGTTACTAAGGGTTTTCTTTGAGACTGTGGTCCCAGCTCTCTTCAGGTCATTGACCAGGTCCTGCCGTGTAGTTCTGGGCTGATCCCTCACCTTCCTCATGATCATTGATGCCCCATGAGGTGAGATCTTGCATGGAGCCCCAGACCGAGGGTGATTGACCGTCATCTTGAACTTCTTCCATTTTCTAATAATTGCGCCAACAGTTGTTGCCTTCTCACCAAGCTGCTTGCCTATTGTCCTGTAGCCCATCCCAGCCTTGTGCAGGTCTACAATTTTATCCCTGATGTCCTTACACAGCTCTCTGGTCTTGGCCATTGTGGAGAGGTTGGAGTCTGTTTGATTGTGTGTGGACAGGTGTCTTTTATACAGGTAACAAGTTCAAACAGGCGCAATTAATACAGGTAATGAGTGGAGAACAGGAGGGCTTCTTAAAGAAAAACTAAACAGGTCTGTGAGAGCCGGAATTCTAACTGGTTGGTAGGTGATCAAATACTTATGTCATGCAATAAAATGCAAATTAATGACTTAAAAATCATACAATGTGATTTTCTGGATTTTTGTTTTAGATTCCGTCTCTCACAGTTGAAGTGTACCTATGATAAAAATGACAGACCTCTACATGCTTTGTAAGTAGGAAAACCTGCAAAATCGGCAGTGTATCAAATACTTGTTCTCCCCACTGTATATATATTTTTTTAAAACATTTATTTCAATAAATTATTAAATCATTTGATAACCCTGTTTGTAAGCTTTAAATTATATCAAACTCAACCGTTTATTTTTTCCAGTGATGAAGACATGGATGTCTCATGGTAGGGTGGGGTATGCAAAATGGGTCAACTTTGAGCTTTCTGACCACTTCATCAAATGAGCAGACATTTATGGAAAGTTTTGTTTAAATCAAAAGGGATTGCTGTCAAAAAGTGATCGAATTCAAATGGATTTCCCCAGGAGTGTCTACCAACAGGTTCTATCTAAACCCTCGATCTGATGTTCCAAGAACCCAGCCCACAAATACACATCCTCCCCTTCAATACTCCGATGCCACAGCCCATCACAATCAAACGCATTTACTGTTTACACTCCATTGCATTGCTTCACATTGTAGGCAATGTAGTGCTAGAGTTAAGACTGTAAAGAACTTGATTGGCAGTCTTCTCTCTCAGACAGGTCATGGTCCTAATAAGGGTTAGTAATAGTCCTTTAATAGAGTTAGAGTCCATTAATACCATAGGGTGAGGGTCATATTCAACCTACAGACAGAGGGTGAAAGTATAGCTCATAATGTAAACTGCCCCTTGCTCTTCATAATCTCCCCTCTCACTCTCTTTCCCTCTCTCCCCCAGCAGAAGTGTGTAGTGTTCCAGAAGTGTACTGTAATGTGTTACAGTGGTGTGGTCATTACATCTGAGGCTGATAGATAACAGAGTTGTGCTGGCTGTGAGTGACTCACCAGCTTCAAATCTCTAGGAAAGGCTAACACAGCAGTATGAAGAGAACACACACACGCACACTTTTATATATCATGTCTGTGTGTTTCTGTGCATGCATGCGATTTAATGTTGTGCAATGTATAGTCGGGAATGGTTTCAGTTTATGACCATAACTCCTATAGATCTAAGACACCTACGATCCAGGGGGGTGACAGACACCCCATTACACAGGTTAGGAGGCCTGAATCTGGGCATGACACCTCTCAGAACCTGGAGCTGGTACAATAAAACTCCTGTATAAATTCTCTAGGTCACTAGCATACAGCCTAATCTCTATAAGGAAATATATGTTAATGGTCTATGTTGTGTTTGTTCTGGAAATGAGTCAACGTTGTTTTGGTTTGTTTGTAAACATAAATAAATGCATGGATATTATGGTGCAGTAGGGAGGCCAGATGGAAGGTTACATAATCTATATAAACCTCTGGGCACGCGGACGGGAATGCACGCACACGCACTCACACACAGCGGAATAGGGTCAAACTAGGATGGGGATGTATATAGGAGGTTGGAAGAGGAGAGAGGAAGAGAGAGAGAGAAAGGGAGGGGTGTGTATCAGTGTGAGGAAGAGAGGAAAGGGAGGGGTGTGTATCAGTGTGGGGGAGAGAAAGGGAGGGGTGTGTATCAGTGTGGGGGAGAGAGAGAGGGAGGTGTGTATCAGTGTGAGGGAGAGAAAGGGAGGGGTGTGTATCAGTGTGAGGGAGAGAAAGGGAGGGGTGTGTATCAGTGTGAGGGAGAGAAGGGAGGGTGTGTATCAGTGTGAGGGAGAGAAAGGGAGGGTGTGTATCAGTGTGAGGGAGAGAAAAGGGAGGGGGTGTATCAGTGTGGGGAGAGAAAGGGAGGGGTGTGTATCAGTGTGAGGGAGAGAGAGAAAGGGAGGGGTGTGTATCAGTGTGAGGGAGAGAAAGGGAGGGTGTGTATCAGTGTGAGGGAGAGAAAGGGAGGGGTGTGTATCAGTGTGAGGGAGAGAAAGGGAGGGGTGTGTATCAGTGTGAGGGAGAGAAAGGGAGGGGTGGTGTATCAGTGTGGGGGAGGGAGAGAAAGGGAGGGGTGTGTATCAGTGTGAGGGAGAGAAAGGGAGGGTGTGTATCAGTGTGAGGGAGAGAAAGGGAGGGGTGTGTATCAGTGTGAGGGAGAGAAAGGGAGGAGTGTGTATCAGTGTGAGGGAGAGAAAGGGAGGAGTGTGTATCAGTGTGAGGGGAGGAGAAAGGAGGAGGGTGTGTATCAGTGTGAGGGAGAGAAAGGGAGGAGGTGTATCAGTGTGAGGGAGAGAGGAAAGGGAGGGGTGTGTATCAGTGTGAGGGAGGGAAAGAGGAGAAGGGTAGGTGGAGAGAGAGAGAAAGGAGAGGGTGTGTATCATGAGAGAGAAGGGAGGGGAGAAGATCAGTGTGATGCGATGAGAGAATGTAGAGAGGTGGAGAAGAGATGGAATGAGAGGTCAAGAGAGAGAAATGTACAGTATGTACAGGGAGACATCTCTCTCCATAGGAAGGCAATATAACTGAGTGGAATTTAAACAGTGTTAATGCCTAGCTTACCAAACCTCAACAAATACAGATCAGAGGCAGTAAGGCTAGCCTTAAATCAGGGAGATGTAGCTCTCCTCTAAGGTCATCTCAGTGGGAGAATATAAAGTAATCTCTGCAGCTGCCCCCTGGTTCGTCAGGCTTTATTTAAGGGCTGTCACAGCCTGCAGGTATGATAGCACAGACAAAAAGAGGATAAATGGCAAGCCTAGAGGTACAGATAGAGGTAAGTAGAGACCCCAGGGGGGGTGAGCTTAGATAGGAGGTAAGTATGGAGTGTGAGTGGAAGGGGGGAGGGGGGTAAATGGGAATATCCTAGGGGTCGGGGTAGGCTAAGCTTAGTGTGTGTGTGCGTTGGTGAAGAATCCAGTCCGAGGTCATATCTGGGATCTCTCTCCAACAATCTGTGTGTCCAGAGGAAACACGACGCTAGGAGCCTTCCAGCCCTATCTGACCCTGTCAAGGACATCTGGGTGGGTCACACACACACACACACACACACACACTTTGGTCTTACCTTTGTAACCACTCCTGACACGACCACAGTGGGCTTTGGTGGGCTAGAGAGACAGAAGGAAAGAAAGAAATGAGGGGTTAAAAAACAGACTCCTACCTCAATGTCAATACTTTGAAGAGACACGATCACATTTTGTTGAGATGAAATGCCTAATGAATGCATGCATTTTTAGTCATTTAGCAGACGCTCTTATCCAGAGCGACTTACAATTAATGAGTGCATACATTTTCATACTGGCCCCCCGTGGGAAACGAACCCACAACCCTGGCGTTGCAAGCGCCATGCTCTACCAACTGAGCTACAGGGGACTACGCCATGCCAGTGAAAATGTCAAAAACACTGACCATCAACTCTGGAGTTTCTCTTTCAGGGTGTTATAAAAGACAGGAACAGAAAGCACTTCTGTTTGATCCAATTGAACACTGATTAAGTAGAGTCAATGTGTGTGAGCACTTGTGTGAGAACTTGTTTGTTTGCGCGGTGTGTGTGAGAGAGTGAGTGAGAGAGAGAGATACGGAAAGGAACAAATTGGCCTAGTATAAACTCCAGAAGGAGAGACTGCAGCTTGCCAGTATCCCATACAGAGAGACAGAAAGACACAGAGAGAGAGAGAGAGAGACCGCCCTGAGCTCAGCCACAGTACTGTGATGCTGTGGACCTGCCTGCCCCCCTGATAAATGAGTACCATTAATAACGGACTGGTTCTACATTGCAACTCACACAGCAGGGGAGAGGGAGGAAAGGAAGGGGGGGGGATCCCGAGATGGAAATGGACCTTGACATGAGAAACGAGTCCTGTCTGGTGTAGCAGCAGAACCATTACCGGAGGTAAAAAGCTGTCCTCAGCTTCTACCTCTGGAAGTTTGCAGGGCAGCAGAGAGACTTAACGTAGCATACACACTTAAGGTTACCTATATATTGTAGCTAGCGTCCTTGAGAGCGAGAGAAAGTGAGGGGGAAAGAGAGAAAGAGAGAGAGGGGAAAGAGAGAAAGAAAGAGAGAGGGGTGGGAGAATGAAAAAAGGGGGAAAGAGAGGAAGAGTGGGAGAGAGAGCAAGATGAAAGAAAGAGCTGCAGAGTTAAGGTTGGTCCCGTCCCTCAGGCTGTGTACAGGAAGTGCATATGGCGATTCTCTGTTGCCTTTACTGTAAACTTCTCTCCATTTCCTCCCATCCCTCCATCTAGGTCTAAATTGTATGTGACAGGCATTCCCTTGGCGACCTCGCTCCACTGGCTGCTACACATCATCCACCTGCTCTCAACAGAGTGGACACACACACTAACCTTGCTCTTTAATGAGCGACTGAAGGAAAGCCAGAGCCAGCGTAAGAGCCAAGCTGCCCGCATCAGAGAGGATTTCTACTGCATTTCACATGGGCACTTTCACAGCCGCCTCTGATCTCTCCAGAGGACCCGGGGCAGGAGCTGTTATAGCAGCCTGCCTCTTTAGGCTGTGGCATAGGGTAAGACTCTCTCTGTGGTCCACACACCAACCACTCTCCTCCTCCTCTACCACCATGCATTTATCCAACACAGTATAGCCTCAAACATATACAACAGATAAACTGTAGCCTCAAACACATGTTCAGAAAAAACACACAAAAATAGGCCATAATGACATGTTCTAAGAAAAACAAGGTGGACCTCAGGTTGACAATAGGCTGTGAAGGGATGAAAATGAACAGATATTGAAGCATCAGACCTGGCCGTTTTCTCTTCTAGCACAGCTACCGGCCCATCATAGGTTATTTGGTGAATTCAAGTTTGTGGAATGTTCTTACCAGTTCTAAAAATTAAACACATTATTTGGTGGAAGGACTATGTATGTATGTGTGTGGTGTGTGGCCTGATAATATAAGGAGCAAGAGTAACCTGTCATGCTGTTCCACATGCAGAGGCCACGGGCCAAAGTTCAGTGTGTGTTGTGTTTTACCTAGGCTCCTCCGGAAACTCCTCGTCATCCTTGTCCTTGACAGGAGGGGGCTCAGGTGGAGCTGCTCCCTGGTGCTTCTGCACTATCCTCATCCCCCCTGCCTTCACTGTCACACACACAAAACACACACATACATACCTTTACCACTGTTATACATTTACAAACACCGACACACATTAGGCAGTGTTTCCCTAACTCGGTCCTGGGAACCCCAAAGGCTGCAGATTTTGGTTTTTGCCCTTGCACTACACAGCCGATTCAAATAATCAAACTCATCATCAAGCTTTCATTATTTGAATCAGCTGTCTGGTGCTAGGGCAAAAACCAAAATGTGCACCCCTTGAGATCCCCAGGACCGAGTTTGGGAAATGCTGCATTAGGGTATAGTGTGGATAAAAGACTGAGGCGCAACAACAAAGAATTCCATTCACCAAAGCAGTTAAATTAACCACAGACAGTCAGATAACCAGATAGCCTAAAAGGCTACAGGCCCACCTGCAGAAGAGGTAGATTTGGCGCACTTGGTCAAAAACAATACTAAAAAAAGAAGCTAAAGAACTCCGTTCTCTTTGCATTCACACTGCCCTTGCCTTTTAATGAGGACTCAACTCTTCTGCCAGTTCACAACCCCCTAAACTCAGCAAAAAAAGAAACTTCCCTTTTTCAGATCATTTGTAAAATTCCAAATAACGTCACATCTTCATTGTAAAGGGTTTAAACACTGTTTCCCATGCTTATTCAATGAACCATAAACAATTAATGAACATACACATGTGGAACCATCAACAATTAATGAACATGCACCTGTGGAACGGTCGTTAAGACACTAACAGCTTACAGACGGTAGGCAATTATGGTCACAGTTATGAAAACTTAGGACACTAAAGAGGCCTTTCTACGGACTCTGAAAAATACCAAAAGAAAGATGCCCAGGGTCCCTGCTCATCTGCGTGAACGTGCCTTAGGCATGCTGCAAGGAGGCATGAGGACTGCAGATGTGACCAGGGCAATAAATTGCAATGTCCGTACTGTGAGACGCCTAAGACAGCGCTACAGGGAGACAGGACGGACAGCTGATCGTCCTCGCAGTGACAGACCACGTTTAACAACACCTGCACAAGATCGGTACATCCGAACATCACACCTGCGGGACAGGTACAGGATAGCAACAACAACTGCCCGAGTTACACCAGGAACGCACAATGCCTCTATCAGTGTTTAGACTGTGAGAGGCTGGACTGAGGGTTTGTAGACCTGTTGTAAGGCAGGTCCTCACCAGACATCACCGGCAACAACGTCGCCTATGGGCACAAACCCACCGTCGCTGGACCAGACAGGACTGGCAAAAAGTGCTCTTCACTGACGATTTGCAGTTTTGTCTCACCATGGGTGATGGTCAGATTCGTGTTTATCATCGAAGGAATGAGCGTTACACCGAGGCCTGTACTCTGGAGCGGGATCAATTTGGAGGTGTAGGGTCCGTCATGGTCTGGGGCGGTGTATCACAGCATCATCGGACTGAGCTTGTTGTCATTGCAGGCAATCTCAACGCTGTGCTTTACACGGAAGACATCCTCCTCCCTCATGTGGTACTCTTCCTGCAGGCTCATCCTGACATGACCCACCAGCATGACAATGCCACTAGCCATACTGCTCGTTCTGTGCGTGATTTCCTGCAAGACAGGAATGTCAGTGTTCTGCAATGGCCAGCGAAGAGCCCGGATCTCAATCCCATTGAGCACGTCTGGGACCTGTTGGATCGGAGGGTGAGGGGCCATTCCCCCCAGAAATGTCTGGGAACTTGCAGGTGCCTTGGTGGAAGAGTGGGGTAACATCTCACAGCAAGAACTGGCAAATAAGGTGCAGTCCATGAGGAGGAGATGCACTGCAGTACTTAATGCAGCTGGTGGCCACACCAGATACTGACTGTTACTTTTGATTTTGAACCCCCCCTTTGTTCAGGGATACATTATTCAATTTCTGTTAGTCACGTCTGTGGAACTTGTTCAGTTTATGTCTCAGTTGTTGAATCTTGTTATGTTCATACAAATATTTACACATGTTAAGTTTGATGAAAATAAATGCAGTTGACAGTGAGAGGACGTTTCTTTTTTTGCTGAGTTTATTTTGTGGTCAGAGTCCTCTTTGCATTCACATTGCTATGTTTAGAAAGGAACCAATATATTTTTCCAACATTCACTCAATGCAGTCTGGGTTTTTACAATGTGGAGGAAAAGTCATTCCATCCGAACGTGTTATCATAAAGCTATATACACCTACCTACATTTTGGAAGCTAAAAAATTGCATTTAGTTAAAAGATAAGACATAATCATTGTAATCAGAAGATACTATTAACATGTCAATATTATTGGTAACAGAATAAATAGCAGAAGAATAACTGCAGCTTAAATAATGCTGTAATTGAAAGTTGTACACCCAATGTAGGCTACTGACCCTTTAAGAGCTAGAATTGATTTTGTACCCAATGTTGTGATTCCACAAGCGAATAAACATCGTATGAAGCTCTCTTAACCTATAGATCACATATTGCAAACAAATAATCTCAACTAAAAACTCATATTTTGGCATTTCTGTGCATCATTGACCATTGCTAATCAATGTCCCAAAACAGCACAAGTTTTTTTTCTGCAAACCCACACTTAATCATCTTCTCTCTATTGTGACACCAATGTGAGGGGTTATGGAGGGGGAAACGATGTTGCAGTTGTCTAGTGTGTGGTGTGGGAATAATGACAAACGAACCTGGGGAGCTTTGTGTTCACATTGCCCTAACTAAAGGAAACCGGACCGAGGATTTCAAGCGAACCGAACTCAGACCCCCTCTCGAGATGGTCTCCGTTCGGTTCGAGGGCTCTTTTGAGTGTTTACACAGGACAAAAAAATTAAGCGAACCCATTTCTAAATTCACAAAAATGGTGTGAAAACACCCTTAGATTATTTTAAGACAAGGCATATCCTGCTAATGAGATCATGTATTTTCACCACCTGACAGACCTAGCAACATTAGCTAGTAGCTACTTGTAATCTTTAGTCAGTTATGGCTATGGTAATCTTTAGTCAGTTATGGCTATGAGAATCTTTAATCAGTTACGGCTATGGTCATCTTTAGTCAGTTACGGCTATGGTCATCTTTAGTCAGTTACGGCTATGGTCATCTTTAGTCAGTTACGGCTATGGTCATCTTTAGTCAGTTATGGCTATGGTCATCTTTAGTCAGTTATGGCTATGGTCATCTTTAGTCAGTTACGGCTATGGTAATCTTTAGTCAGTTACGGCTATGTGCCCTACTTTCTATGTCCACGTAGGCTATGTGCCCTACTTTCTATGTCCACGTAGGCTACTCCTTAGGTGTTATCAGATCCCCCACAGACTTTAGCTACATAGCCTGGGTGCCAGTCGGTTTCTGCTCTCTTGCCAACTCCTTATGGAATTGTCATGTCAAACCTGTTTAGCATAACAAGGAGTGGCATGAAGTGGAATGATAGCCAAAAAGATTGGCACCCAGGCTAGACTTCACACGGTAGCTTCCACTATACTAACTATGCCACAATAAAAGATACAGGCCTAGGTTTGATGGCACTCCGTCAATAAAACATTGGCAACATGTGTAACGTTAGATATCAATGTACATTCATTGGCGTAGTGCGTCATTCGGAAATCGGACTTAGCGACAGGCAAACAAATTAATTTAGTAAGCTTTCAGATTTCGTTCCACAGCACGTTACAGCACACACGTTAGTCTAGCTACTTGAGCAGTGTGTATCTAACTAACGTTGCCCAACGCAATTATTGACATAGGCCTAATGCGTATGCAGTGATACAACGTCAGTTGAACCATGAAAACAAAAGCGATGTTGTTTGTGCTGTAAAAAGCAACATAAGGTTTAATACCAGCCGGGAGGTGTCCACCTTTGGTCTCGATTTTTTCCTTCGGAGGCGAAGACATCTGTAATCTAACACTCGTTTAGTTCTATTTTTCCTTTGCTTTTCTGGGATAAACAGCAGCAGCAGACTTTTGCCCAGTTCGTCAACGTGGCTTTTTTGTTTGGCAACGGTGCGTGATGACGACAGAGAAAATATCGACAAATAGGAAAGTCACGTTCAGTCTGACGTTGTGGGGGGTGGGGTACGGGACGGGGCTAGTGCCAGAATAAAGAATTTCCCATGGATAAATAAAATCAAGTGGTGAAAGTTAAAGGAGGTATGGTCCAATACGGCGTCCCGGCAAAATAAATAGTGGGGGTACACCATACCTGTAAAAACATGAGCATATCACAATAATTAAAGCAAAATGTCAAGAAAACTGTAGGCTATTACACCACTTTTTATCATTACCGCATGTCAAAGGCATGACAAATGAGTGAATGTACTTGAAAACGGGTGGTATAGCCTACTCCAATATTATTTAACCATTATTTAACTAGGCAAGTCAGTTAAGAACAAACTCTTATTTACAATGACGGCCTACCAAAAGGCAAAAGGCCTCCTGCGGGGACGTGGGCTGGGATTAAAAATAAAAATATAGGACAGAACACACATCACGATGAGACACCACAACACTACATAAAGAGAGACCTAAAACAACAACATAGCATGGCAGAAACACATGACAACACAGCATGGTAGCAAAATGCTATGTGGTTAGATGAGAACACAGACATTTTGCCAAGGCAGAGATAATAATATAATATGCCATTTTGCACACGCTTTTATCCAAAGCGATTTACAGTCATGTGTGCATACACGTTCACGTATTGGTGGTCCCGAGGATCGAACCCACTACCCTGGCGTTACAAGCGACATGCTCTACCAATTGAGCAACAGAGGACCACTTGAGTTACAGAGGAGATGAGTGGACACATACATTCTGGCCTATTGACAATGAACAAATGTTATTACACTTTCTGGTGTTTTGTGTAACAGATGTCTCTTTCCATTCACCACTGTTTGGAGGTTGGATGAACGTGTGTGGGTAGCCTAGTAAGTGATTGTTTGACAATCAGATGAAAACATCATGACTGATTGCGTTTATGCCACAATAAAAGGTAATACATTTTAAAAGTTACATGACAAATCTTTATGACTAGGCTCACTGAGATGCTATTTAGCTTAGCGGTTAAGAGCGTTGTGCCAGTAACCGAAAGGTCGCAGGTTCTAATCCCCGAGCCGACTAGGTGAAAAATCTGTGGATGTGCCCTTGAGCAAGGCACTTAACCCTAATTGCTCCTGTAAGTCGCTCTGGATAAGAGCGTCTGCTAAATGACTAAAATGTAAAATGAGTGTGTGCATGTGTTCGGTGTGTGTCAGTGTTTGGTTCTGACAGTAGTGAAGACATCCTATAACACCTAATCCCCAAGTCCAGAGGGCATTGTAGTCCTGTCAAGGTGTTAATGTCTAATCAAAAGGCTAGGAGGTCACTGCTGTCCTTTTTTCTAGAACCATGTCTTGTTGATGAATTCATAACATAAACAACATGTGGCCATACTTGCGAACATAAGCACGCATTTAAAGTTAAACAGGGCTGCATTCAGTACGTTTTTACGTTCTGGAACGTACAATTGAACGGAAACGGTGCTGTACTGAAAGACCTGTTGAAAAACGGGGAGGTTGGGGAATAATGTCAGCATGGCCACCGCGTTTTAAATACGCAATTCAAGTCACACCTCGCCACACCCACCAAACGGGAGCAAAGTAAACGTACCTCAAAGTCTGTTCAATAACGTTTTGGGGAAACGTGTAATTCAGCACAAACCGTTCCGCAACGTAGCAAACGTTAAAGCGAACTGAACGCACCTCGTGTTCTTACACACAAAATGCGTTACGGCCAATTAAAATGGTCGATACTTGCAAAAGACCAAATGCTAAATTTTTGCTCGTCTCATCAGATAACGTGGTACAAGGAGCACCAGGTGGCAGTGATTACATGATCCTGGCACAATTTCTGCTTCATTCTATCAAAGATTTTCTGTTTCACACACATCCATGTGCTTTAACGGAAAAAATATAAATGAGGTCCTTTCAAGAAAGTTTATCGTACATTGTAAAATAGGAGTCATATCGGTTATCAGTAGCCCCACCGTTTCTAGGTGGGACACACTGTTAAAGGATCAACTTAATTGAAACTGCGTTTTAACCGTGGGTTCGAGCCCACTTAGCATCAAGCTTTTTTGTTCAGGAAAAAGTCGATTAAAAACGCATGTGACGAAGTGCATTATTATAATTATGCATAAACTATAAAACATTGTAGGCCTGCATGTAAGTGTAGCCTACTTAAGAATATACTAATAACAGTGTCTTCCTACATTGACTGCTGACTCAAAAATGCAATACTGCCATCTGTATGATGAAAATGAGAGTGCAAGCTATTTATACGGTACACTTTGGATCCTCCTCCAGTGAAATAACACATACTGTCTGTGACTAAGCAGATTATTATAAAAATGCATAAAACGTGGGCCTACATTTAAGTGTACAGGTCCATGTAATATAGCCTGCAATATGATTATAGGCCAAAGTAACGTTCGTGTGTTTGAGTGCAAGCTGTTGGCTATGTCCCTTTTCAACACACTAACCCAATTGGCTACATGTAAATCTACATTTAAGTCAGTCAAATACACGTGATAGCTTAGTTGGTTTGATGATCAGAGGGTACTGTTGGACTGATGTTAAGGATGCTTCCATGAACAAGTGTTGGAACACGTCCTACAACGTCTCCCATTTTAATTGGCTGCAGAAGTTGTGCCAGGATGAATTCACTGCCACTTGGTGAGGTTAGCAAAGGGCTAACGTGTTATCTTATGGTACCAGATTCAATTTAGTTTTCTGTCACATGCAAGTAAATCGACAATGCTTGCTTATGTATCACAAGTATGGTCCCCTTGTGTTTAGGTTGTTTGTGTGTGTGTGTGCGCGTGTGTATGTGTGTTTGTTCTTGCATATGGCCACTAGAGGGGAGAATACAGCTATGATAAATGTCCTAATCTCCCAGTCGGGTGTGTGAGTGCTCATCTAAACAATGTTATTTCTATCCAACATTGTGTGTGTGGGTGTGTATAGAAGGACCCATCACATGTTTGGACCCCAGGAAGAGTATCTGCTGCCTTGGCAGAGGATCCTAATAAATATACTAAAACAATATGTAAAGTGCTAGACAGAGCAGGTAACAGTAGTGCAAGACAGAGCAGGTAACAGTAGTGCAAGACAGAGCAGGTAACAGTAGTGCAAGACAGAGCAGGTAACAGTAGTGCAAGACAGAGCAGGTAACAGTAGTGCAAGACAGACCAGGTAACAGTAGTGCTAGACAAAGCAGGTAACAGTTGCTAGACTACACTGAAGTATGTTTGTCTTCTGTCTGTCTGTCTGTGGCTGGGGGTTAGTGACCACAGCTAAAGACAAACACAAAGTCCTAGAACTATTGTTTTGTGTGTGTGTGTTTGTGTTTGTGTGCCTCTGGGAGAAGCTCTCTTTGTGATGGTTTACAGAGAGACAGAATGGGGACGTCACAGGTGAGTGACTATGCTGCATCTGACAAGAACACACGTTCTCTCTCTCTCTCTCTCTCTCTCTCTCTCTCTCTCTCTCTCTCTCTCTCTCTCTCTCTCTCTCTCTCTCTCTCTCTCTCTCTCTCTCTCTCTCTCTGTAGGGGGTAAGGGTTCACAGCAGGCTAAAACCAAAGAGAGTCGTTTCTGCAACGCTAAAGAATAACTGTCTATCCGTGTCTCCACTGGGTAACACTCTACTGTACTGTCATGCCTCATTTAGGGTGAGGAGATTCCACTTGACAGGACACCTCACGGTGTGTAATTCTATGTGAGGAGCAGGAGGAGAGGGAGGGACACAATGATGAAATTGACTCATATTCATTGTGTCATATTCAAAAAGCAATAGAGGTATGATTGGCCTACTAAATGTGTCCCCTGTACTGTAGCATTACTGGCATGTAATGAACACAAGGCTAAAACGGCTGTTTATGTCCAAACCATTCCCTGCCAGTCACAGTTTGCTGAGGTTAGGTGCGGTGCATAGCAGGGCTGTGCACCACTATTCCTCCTTTTTCATTTGTGTTGCTATTCCACACACCAGAGGTTTTGTATTTAGCTCATCAGCAACATTAATCATTCCTATCGTATCCACCCGACGCCAGGTTCCTAGGCAGAGCTCAAATTGAACCGTCAGGGTTTCTAACACGGCCCTAAACGAATCACAAAGAGCAGTCTGGGCTCCTCTCTCTCACTGCTGCTGTCTTTCTCTTCTTTTTGTCCCCCTCTTCTCCCCTCTCTCACAAACACACGCTCTTTACCTCTTTCTCTCTCCCCCTTCTCTCTCTCTCGCTACCTCCCTCTGTCTTGCTCCCTCTGACTCTCTATGTATCTATCTCTCTCCCTACCTTGCTCCTAAAGCGGATTAGATTTCTGTTTCTCATACATAATGTTGTTAGGTCTGTCTGTCTGTCTGTCTGTCTGTCTGTCTGTATCTGAGGCATACTGCTGAATGCTCATCCTTGTTTAATCAGAAATTGATTTTCGTGCCAAACCCTCTAGACTGAACCACCACGCATGCACACACACATATATGCGCATGCACGCGCATGCCATAGGTTAATTTTCCAAGGGGGATGGGGGTACATGTCCCCCCCAATATTCAGAACAGGTAGGTTTGTCCCCCCCAATCATTTATATATATATAAAAAAGATTGGGTTGGGGGCCCCCCAGATAGCATACAAACACGTCATAAGCAATGGCAAAATGTGTAGAATTGCGGGAAATTTGCTTTAACTGTCGACTTTGGGTGCGATAAACGATCCAACTCCTCTTCTTTCTCAATTTTCTAACAGAAATGGGGTGTGCCTTTGGTTGTTCATCGATGTGCCATTCTGGTCATGCGCTCCATGACCCAAGTAGCTAGTTTGTTAGCTAAGTTTGCCACTTGTAGCTAGCCAGTAACTCTTCCAGTATGTGTTGATGTCATTCACAGCTGTAGAGATGGGTAAGAAATGGCACTTCTGTAGCCAAATATCTTATTCATATTTTTTTTTTTAAAGCATTAACTGT